GGAAGCCGTACACGGGGCCCCTCAACCCCCTCCCGGCAGGCAGCCAGATTCCTGCCCCCTTGTCAGGCAGCCTGCTCCCAGCCCACTCCTGCCCTGTGGCCAGGCAGCCTGCCCTCTGGCCAGACCTCACACCCTCACCCCATCCTATGCCCCATTTCTTCCTATCCAGATCCTGCACGCCCATCCCTATCCCATTCACTGCTAGCCCTGTCCTGCACACTGAGACCCTCATTTTTGGCCTCACCGCAAAGCCTAGGGAGACCCACAAAATCCACTAACCCTGGAACCCCAGAAGAGTAAATATGGTCCGAGGCCTTGAACCTCAGTCCTCCCTGTCCTCCCTCTTCCCACTATTGGACTGGAGCATCAGGGGAGTGAGGTGATTCAGATGGGGGTCACATCATTGAGGGTTGGGGTTTTTTTTTTTTTTGCTTTTCACTTGTGTTGTCCCCGACTGTGGTTTTGTTTTTTGTTTTTTTCTTCTGTGGGTCAGTGGCCCTCAGCCCAAAACAGGTTGCCCACTTCTGCCATAAATCAAGACAACGTTGAAACCTTTTGTGTTGGACATAATATTTTACTTTATATAATAATGAAGCCTGGCCAATTGGGGCCCAGTCCCCATCTAGCCGCAGCATCATAACACTCATGCACCCCTCCACACACCAACCCTGAGCCCATTATACACCTGAACCCTCTGCCCTGAGCCCTTTCTATCCCCACATCCCTAGACTCCTGCAACCCCCACATCTTCAGCCCCTTCCATAGTACTCCTGCATCTCCACACAACCCAACCTTGTAGCCTGAGTCCATCATACACCCAAACCGCCTACCCTGAGCCCCTCATACACCCCAACCCAGATTCCTGCACCCCCACATTACAGGTCCCCTCCCATAAGATTGACCAAAGACAACCTCATTGCATGAATGAAGTTGAATTTGACCAGTTATGATGTAAACTTCAAATAAATGTGTGAAAAGATGCAGTAGCAGAAGTCCCATTAAATAAAGTCTGAGTACGTTTCATTTGTGCTATTATTAATCATCACGTTAATTATCAATAATATTAACTTGTATATTTTCAGTCATGCAAATGGACATTCTTATACAGCTCTTTGTTGACCACTTGTTCTGAATTTTGAGGTAGTTTGACTCTTTGGTTTGAAAAGGTTGCCGACCCCTGCAATAAGGAAATCTTTTAAAAACAATAGGAAAGTAGGAGTCTCTTGTTTTTGACTGGCTGGATACACCCAAGGAGGGTGAACCAGAGACCTCAGAGAAAGGGAGGTGACCCTGGTTTGGAAGGCAGCTGAAAGAAAGCTTTTTTATGAGTTTATAAGTTTTTGCTGAGGATTTTTGTTACTTTTGATTTGTAATCTGCTCTGCTCTGCCTGTTCTCACCTATTACCACTTAAATCCTACTGCTTGTACTTAATAAAATCACTTTTACTTACTATCAAGCCCAGTGTAAACAATTGTTACCTGGGGGAGCCGTCAGTGTGCACATTTCCCCTTTGATTGTTAAAGGGGGCTTACCTAACTAATTCCTTGGGGTTTGATCCCCTTTGAGGAGTGGTATCTCAGGAAGCTGGGCCCTAAGCTGCACTCTCCGTAGTTCTGAAGAGATTCAGAGTCTGCACTGCTTCTCAGTGGGGGCTGTGATTCTCAGCTCTGTGCCTTGGCTGAGGAGGAGACCAGGGAGCTGGCCAACCAAGACAGGGTGGCAATAAGCCTCAGAGAACAAGGAGGGTGGCAGTGGCCTTGTCAGCACCCCGGGAATCACTCCTAAGGGATCATCTGTGACCTCACCCTGTCACATTTCATCAGGCCCTGGTGACTTGAAGACATCTAACCTTGCTAATTTATTGTTCACCTGTTCTTTTCCTATTTTAACTTCTAAGCCTACCCCATTTCCACTAGCATTCACTATGTTAGGTATCGCCTCACCATCCATTTCCTTGTTGAAAACTGAAACAGAAATCATTAAGCATCTCTGCCATTTCCAAATGTCCTATTATTATTTCTCCCTCTTCACCAAGCAGTGAGCCTACCCTGTCCTTGGTCTTCCTCTTGATTCTAATATATTTGTTACCCTTTATGTCTCTAATTTGAGCTCATTTTGTGTCTTTGCCTTTCTAATCTTGCTCTTGCATACCTGTATTGTTTGCTTATATTCATCCTTTGTCATTTGTCCTAGTTTCCACTTTTTATACGACTCCTTTTTTAGATCATGTAAGATCTCCTGATTAAGCCAAGGTGGTCTCTTGCCATACTTTCTATCTTTCCTACACAGCGGAATAGCTTGCTTTTGGACCCTTAATAATGTCCCTTTGAAAAACAGCCAGCTGTCTTCTGTTGTTTTTCCTCTGAGTCTTGCTTCCCATGGGACCTTACCTACCAGCTCTCTGAGTTTACTAAAATCTGCCTTCCTGAAATCCATGGTCTCTAGTTTTCTGTTCTTTTACCATTCCTTAGAATCATGAATTCTATGATTTTGTGATCACTTTCACCCAAGCTGCCTTCCACTTTCAAATTTTCAACCAGTTCCTCCCTGTTTGTTAAAATCAAATCTAGAACAGCTTCCCCCCTGGAAGCTTTCTCAACCTTCTGAAATAAAAATGGTCTCCAGTGCAGTCCAAGAACTTATTGGGTAGTCTGTGTCCTACTGTTAGTTTCCCATCATATGTCTGGATAGTTGAAGTCTTCCATCACCATCAAATCCTGCACTTTGGATGATTTTGTTAGTTGTTTAAAAAAATTCTCATCCACTTCTTCCACCTAGGTAGGTGGCCTGTAGTAGACATGACATCACCCTTGTTTTTTACCCCTTTTAGCCAAACCCAGAGACTCTCAACATGCACGTCTCCTATGTCCATCTCCACCTCAGTCCAAGTGTGTACATTTTTAATATATATGACAACAACTCCTCCCTGTTTTCCCCCGCCTGTCCTTCCTGATTAAGCTGTACCCTTCTATGCCAATATTCCAATCATATGTATTATTCTAGTGATACTGACTATGTCACAGTTGTGTTTATTTATTAGCACTTCAAGTTCTTCTTGCTTATTTCCCATATGTCTTGCATTTGTATATAGGCATCTAAGATACTGATTTGATTTTTGCCTCCCAGTTCTGCCTTGTCCCTCCTTTATCTGCTATTATAGCCCATGCTCCCTCCCATTTCTGACCCATCTCTCCATGTTTTTCACTTGCCGGAGGGCATTGATCACCTGCCCGTCAAACCTAGTTTAAAGCCCGCCTCACGAGGTTAGCCAGTCTGCATCCAAATATAGTCTTCCCCTTGCTCAAAAGGTGAGCATCCCTGCTTAGCAGTCCCTGCTTAGCAGTCGTTCTCGGAATAGCATCCCGTAGTCGAAGAAGCCAAAGCCCTCCTGGCAACACCATCTTCACAGCGAGGCATTCACCTCCAGGATGCACCTGTCTCTGCCTGGGCCCCTACCTTTGACAGGAAGGACTGAAGAGAACACCACCTGAGCTCCAAACTCCTTCACCCGTACTCCCAGAGCCCTGTAGTCACACTTGATCTGTTCAGTGTCACACCTTGCAGTATGGATGAGTGCCCACATGGACGATTAGCATGGGGGAGTAGTCAGAGGGCTGGATAATCCTCGATAATGCCTGCATAACGTCTTGGATATGTGCCCCGGCAGGCAGCATACCTCCTGAGATGTTATGTCAGGGTGACAGATGGGTGCTTCTATCCCCCTCAGAAGAGTTTCCAACTACCTAGGGCTGCCAGATATATTTCCCAATTTTTTTTTCCCATAGCAGGGAAAAAATCGGTTGAGCAAAAAAAACGGGGGGGGCAAAGTTGTTGAGCAAAAAAATTTAAAAAACTTCTCCAAAAAAAGGGTCACTGCGCCTTTAAATTCCAGCACTCCTCATTCCCTCCCACCCCCGCCAGACAGGGCAGGGGAGGAATGTCCAAAGCAGCCTTCTGTCAGAGACACAGAAAATACTGCACACGTACGGTATCTTTTTTTAAACCGGACAAAGGCCACAGATACCGGACTGTCCAGGCCAATACCAGACATCTGGCAACCCTACAACCACTACCACCCTACGCTTCCTCCTCGCAGTGGTGTCTTCTCCTCTTCTGCTTTAGGGGGTGATTCCTTATCTCTTGTATCCAGAACAGCATATATTGCAGTAAAACCAAAAAACCCAATTAGAGGGGGCCCATTGTGTTTGGAAAGCAGTGAAAACACACAAATACACAGTATGTTCCCCAAAGAGCTTAAGGGTAAAGGCTGTGATTCTGTGAATAATTACAAACATAAATGAGACTTCAGTAGGGCTAGTCACAAAAGTAAAGCTAGGCACATGCATAAGTGTCTTTAGAACTGGAAACTTTTTTGGGGGGAGGGAAGGGGATAATATCACACACAATTTGGTTACTTTATACTTTTAAAAGTTTTACATAAAGTACCAAGTATTTCCATTTGTCCTTGCTCATTAATTGGCTAATTTCATATACAAGATACAGCAAAAAGGAACCTCAAGAAGAGGGTGAGTATTATTGAGGGAAGTAGCTTTGTGAAATCAGACACTGGCATGAATAGCACTGGAATGTATTCTATTTAGAGTGAATAAGCACGATCAATCTCCGTTGTCAGAGTGTAAGCTAGCTACTAGGTGATACCAAGAAGAAATTTCTCTGCTACTTTGTTGCAATTTAGATGTGTTCCTATTTGTTGTTTTTTTCCCCCCCTTTTAAACAGCTGGCATTTCTTTATATTGGTTTACGCAGACCACTGGTTTGTTGTAATATGGCAGTTCTTATGATGTTTTCCCTGAATATGCTAGTGGATTTTCAGCTTGGCGTAAACAGGTGCCTCTTTTGACTTCAGTGAGAGTTGTGCCCATTGCTGCCATGTCTGAATTCTGTCCACAATCTTATTTACCATTTATCTACATGTATGCTTGATCTTTAAACAATTATTTTCATAGATGAATTTTTGGAAAGAATATTCCATTAAGGGACCCGGCACAAAAACTGGTAAGTCCAGATCAGAGCTTCTCATTTCTTTCCCTGTTATGTTGCAAATGTTGCTCCCTTCACACATACTCTAGGGCCCCCCTCCTTCTAAGCTTGTTGCAATTTACGTTGTAATTTGGTCATAACTAAGTCCCAGCTTGACAAAGCCCTGGCTGGGATGATTTATTTGGGGCTGGTCCTGCTTTAGGCAGGGGGCTGGACTTGATGACCTCCTGAGGTCTCTGCCAGCCTCAGGATTCTAAGTATACAGCTGGCAGAATTATAACCCTTGCTTTACAGTCTTTTTATCTTTGTGCATTTTCTTATAATATTTTATACACTGAAATGTATATTGTCGTACCTAATATATTTGTGAAGTTCAGGGAATTGGAGGACTTTAGCCATTTACTATTGCATATTGAAATATGCATTCAGCTATCTATTTCCTTGTTTGTTATTAGTTACAAGTTTCCATATTGTCTATCTTTCTGCAACTGCCTATTGTTTTATTTTGTATTGCAATGATTTTATAGAGACCCCAGTTAGGCTCAGGACCCTCAGTGTGGCAGGTGCTGTACAGATAGAGTAAAAGTCCTTCTCTTTTCTGAAGGATTTAATCTGATGAAAGCTGCAATAAGTAAGGATGTTTGATAGTGGGTAATAGAAGAGTGAACTAACCATATGAATTCTTAGCAGTTAGTTGACTGTTCTATAGTCCCCGGGGGCAGGGCCAACAGCCAGTGTGCTCTTCCCTTTTAGACTGTAGCTGCACTCAGTTTCAGAGAGCTAGCCAGGATTAGGGATATAATAGTGAAGTCAATTAACCGATAAGCAAAAGCTTATAGATTAATGCCATAGACTATACACATTTCCACCCCCACCCCGCCTGTAAATTTTTTAGCAGGCTGGTCAGCAGCCTGGCTCAGTGCTGGCTCATGATGGGTCTGGGAGCTCAGGACACCCCCACCACCACCCCTCCCACACACACACACACACACCCAGACAGGGGCTGCTGCCACCCCATGTTGCTGCCTCTGTGTCAGAAGCAGCAGCACAGGATGACAGGCAGCTGGTCTGTGAGAGGAGCTGATTTTTAAACTGGCTCACTTTGAGGACCAGCTCCCACCTGGCACCCAATGCTGCTGCCTCTGATACAGCCCCTGTCCGTGAAGTAGGATGCCATGAAGAGGCTGATGGAGGCAGTAGCATGAGGCCATAAAGAGGCAGTGGGGGAAGGGGGTAATGCAAGAAGTTGGCTAGATTAACCAATAAGCCTAGGCTTATCAGTTAATTGTCTAGTCTACTACTCATTGACATCTCTAGCAATAAGTGTGTGAAATAACAATTCGCAGGGACGGAGTGGTGGAGAATCTCAATAATATGCATAAATAAATGATCTAGGAGAGGAATATTTGTTAACCTTTGCTTTCGGTTGTGGGTGGGCATTGAAGTCTTTGGCTATTGCTGGAGTGATGTGAGGGTTTGCCACATAAGAAGACTAAGAGAAAGGAACTATTACTGTTAAAGTTACTGTACAATTTCAAGTCTTCAAAAAGAGAGAAGGCCACCACTGAAGAAGCATTGTTAATAATGCCATAGTGCTAATCAACTAAAAATAATTACTGATTTCTGTTCAGATGGTGAAACTCTACAGAAAATTGATGTTACAGGACTTCTGACTGGCCTAGTTGCAGTTGGTGTGGTGTTGGTTATAACTGGATTACTTATTTATTATTTCTGCAAAAACAGATGCAAACCAAGACAACAATCAGGGTAAGCAATAGAGACTAATAACTCTCTTTACTTTCATACAGAATATGTATGAGGTGGAATTTTCAAAATCACTCTGCTCTCGTTGGAGTGGAAATTTTCAATAGGCCATAGCGTTTGATTATTTTTTGAAGGGTTATGCACATCATCAAACTGTAATCTGTGATACAACCCACACTACGACTCCCCTTATGATGAAAAGCTATACCACTATTATCTGAAGCACTCAAACTCTACAGAATATGGAGTATTTAAGAAACATAAATGTTATTTTATTACTAAAATATGTATTATGCTTCTGGAATATGATTAAAAACTAAATTGTATACCAGTACTTGAAACACTAAAATTAAGATCAACTAATATAAGTAATAGATGCTTAATGATGTTAAAGAAGAGCTCTTATTGGTTCCTGTAAATAGCACATATATTTTTACATGCACATTGTGGCATACAGAAAAATAGACCAGTAATCTAAAGTGCAAAAAATGCACTGAATTTTGATTTATATATAAAATAAAGGGAAGAGTGTACATAAAATGTAGGACAGTAAAATGGAGTTACATTATTTGCAAGAGTAAATATCTGTATAAGTTAAATACCTACTGATATTTAAAGCAAATCCTATCTGACTTCCATAAGCGTAGAAGGTTCTTTTCTAAGGAGGCACAAATCTGCAACTCCAAGGAGAGGTGGAGCTATGCATAGGTCTGCTGAGATAGGAAGCTGAAGAAAGCTGGAGGATCCAGTACTACATGGATAATTTAGTCCTCCTCCTCCTCCCTGTGGTCCCCTCAGCCTGATGAGTATGAATGGGGCAATAGAGTTACAGAAGATACTCCTGCCATTGCTATAAAGAAATAGACATTGAGGGCCCTGAAGGAGGATTCTGCACCATTCTTGTCCCAGTGAATTTCTGCAGCACCTGTGTTCTTCAGCCTGGGTTCTGGGGAATTTGCTGTTAAGATGATTAAAAATATACTTGTTTTGGCAAAAGGCTATGTAATCCTTCATACATAACAACGAAGCTGTCATTCATAAGACTCTTAACTTTGTTTAGGTACTCTGACAGTGTAAGAAGTAGAAGAAGTTCATCTATCTTCAGAAGACATGACGAAGTTTCTTTAAATCCACTCCCTCTAAGAACAAATGAGTCAGGACTTCCAACTTATGAAGAAGCAGTGACATTAGGTGGAAAATATGATGCCCCACCACCACCATATCCAGGGCCTGCAAAAGAACTTAAGGTGCTTAAAAAGTCGGTGTCACTTCCTGCCCCTTAATCCCAAACTTGACTCTGGTGGAGTAGGGAATGAATCTTCATTGAAAGATGTACATTTGAAAAGATGCAGTACCTTACAAGACAATTTTCACAAATGTGAAAGGCCTACAGATCTTCAGCGCAGCTAGAAGCAAGTGAATTCTTTCATACTAGAAAGGAAGAAATTGTTTTACAAAGGTTTGATGTATTTTTCTTGCATGAAGCTTGTTCATACAGGTTTTTGGTGCAAGAACTGAACCATGCATAAAGGTACAAATTTCTATGAGCGTCCATGCATTTTGAGCCAATATCAAATTATTGATATTCCATTACTAGTTTTACTGGCTATTTGTTCAGAAGGTCACACTTGCTTATGGCCTTTGGCAAGTCACCTAACTCCTCACCCCGTGTGTTATACATTTTGTAGATTGAAAAGTATAATACTTAGCTTAGGATGATGTTTTTGTTTAATTCATTGCCATTTATACTTCAGGAGTGTTTGAGAGTCATTTGGAAGAGTGCCATAGATAATTTTCAATTGCTGAAGCTTCAAAGATGCATCTCAATTTGTGTAGTAGATCAGCTGATACATGAAGTGCTGAGCTAGGTCTCATGGCTTAACCACAAGTAGGAATGTGAAAGGTTAGCTGGTGGGGGCTGGTGCAGCTCCCCACCTGAAGTGGGAAGGGGGCTGCTCCAGTCCCGCAGGGGACCCACCATGGACAAGGCTGCTCTGGACATCCAGAGCAGCCCCTGTCTGGGGTGGGCCGGGCACCCTGTAGGCAGGGGCTCTGGCCAGGCTGGAGAAGTCTCTGCATGTGGTGAGGGAGAGGGGTGCTCCAGCCTGGCCTTGTGGTGGGGGGGAGCCTGCTCCAGCTTGTGCCCCTTTTCATTGGTTAACCAGTTAAACATAATGTTTAACCAGTTAACAGTTAAACTGCATTTAAATACCTAATCACAAGGAGGGTGTAAACCAGACAGGGCCAACCTTAGGGAAAATGGTGCCCTGGGCAAACTTACATTTTGGCGCCCCCGTACTCCCTACTCTGGGCATGGTGCCTCCTCCTCCCTCCCGCCCCCATTTCCCTTGGATGCTGCTCAGTCCTTTGCTCCCCTGAGTGCAGGGCTATTCTCTCTCCCCCTTGCAAAGGGAGTTGTCGCAGTCCTTGGCCAAGCCCTTCCTGTAGAGCTACATGGGGAATGGATTATTTTAGATTACATATTTTCCCCAAGATACACGTAAAAGGTGGCTGCTGGTTTTGAATGACATCAGGTTGTGAAATGAAACAGCAGGTGAAAAACCTGAGTGGGCCACTTGCCTTTCAGTGGTTTCTTCCTTCACAGTCTGAGCTGCTCTGCAGAAGCCCTGGCAGCTCCCTTGCTGCGCAGCCCTTGGCCTGCAGTTCCTGGCGAGCTCCATGCTGTCAGATGGGCGCTGCATCTTGCCCATGGCCCTCCTGCAGTCTTCTGGTCACTCCTGACTCACCGGGGAGGGCCAGTTCAGATTGTGGTGGGGCTGGGTTTAACTGATTCCAGAGGATACTTAGGCACCTGAAATCTCCAGGGTTTATTGGGTTTTGTTTTGTTTTTAAAAAAACCAACCCTTAGCTGATTTCACAGTACACAGAAATCTTGAAATATTTCCATCAGTAATAATTAAATTAGTTACAGGTAGGGAGAGCAAGAAAAATGCTGCTTGAGAACTTGTTAGTTAAAATTTAGCGATATAAACTTCTGAACTGAGCTTGTTACAAATGGACAAATGAATGAATAGTTAAATCAACAAATCATGTCTGGTGTTAGGATATTTATTTTATAGATATTGGCATGTGATATGGTGGTTTTGGCTGTTTTGTTGTAGTCATGTTGGTGCCCAGGTGAGAGCCACAAGGGGAGTGAAGTAATATCTTTAATTGGACCAAATATGGTTGGTGACAGAGACACCCTTTGGAACTCCTCAGAGCTCTTCTCCAGGTCTGCAAAGTTCAAAAGGGCTAATCTCTCACCAACCAAAACTGTTTAAAAAAAAACAACTCACCCACCCTTTCTCTGTCTGTGTTTTAACAACTTTGAACTTTGTATCTCAACTTCTTCTGTCATTAAAAAATTATCAAACCTTCCTCCATAATTTCCCACAACTGTGAAAATTATAAAAAGACAAAAAACTTAAAACATATAGTACACAAAGTTACACAAAATAAAAAGTGCATTCTATCAAGCCTTTTTATAAGCCAGAGCAGCAGCGTTGAAGCACTGCAGAGGGGTGGGGAAGATGGGGCAGAGTCTATATTCCCACTGAGTTCCCTTTGAGTTTAAGAGCCTGACTGTTGTAACTTGCAGTTTCAATCACACACTTCAGATTCTCACACTCGGAACTCAGGTGCCTTCCAGAGCATGAAGAAGGTTTGCAGATTAAGATGGGAGCAAAGAAAATTTCCTTATTCTTAATCTTGATCCAGAAACAACACTGTGCCCAACAACAGCTTTGACAAGGCCCCCTGCCCTGACACAATTTAAAGGTTCCCCCCAACAACTCCAGTGTCATACCCCTCCCCCCCAGTTCCTCTGTGAGGTTCTTAGGGGTAAAGGAGAATAGGGATGTGAAAGGAACCGTGTACCTGGTTAAGCAATGAGCCTGGGCTCATTGTGAACCTTCATGGTTACATGCAGGCTCCTGGCATATGTGGGGAGCCAGCTTTTGCGAACGCCAGCTCCCTGGGAGCAGCCTTCCACCCGTGTGTGACCCCTGAATTGATCAGTAGGTACACGGTTACTTAAACACATTTTAACATCCCTAAAGGGGAAGAAAAGGGGAGGGGACCTAGACCTACTCCACACTAACACTCCCTCTCCCCCCAGATAGCAGGGCTGCTCTGAACCCCAGCCAGCCAGAACATAGAGAGAAGCTGCATGCACACACACAATCCCCACCAAACTCAGGCACCTACCCCAAGCCTCTTCCAGCACAGCCTCTCCCCACAGGGCTTCTACAGGGCCCTCTGTCCAGGGAGAATGAGGAGCTCCCACCCCTTTCCCCCTCCCCCCAGGCACCCTGCTGCTGCTCCCACAAGAACAGAGGAGTTACCTTCCTTTCCCCCTCCTGCTGCTCCCACAAGAACAGAGGAGTTACCTGAGACAAGTGAATTCCTCTTTCCTCCTTTACTATGGCTGAGCTGGCTGCTGGGTTCCCCCTCTTGCTTAGCTGACTGGCCCCAGATAAGGTGAGGTGACCCTATTCATATGCGCCCTATCAGCACATCCAGGATGGTTGCCCAGGTCTAGGGCCTGCCGTGAAACCAGACATTGTTAGCGAGAAGGGCTTGGCCACTGAATTGTCTCCTCAACTGTATGCTCCAGGTCCCGAGTCTGTTAACCTGCTCACTTTGCATGGCTCATTTGCTCTCCCAGGCTTTTTTTGCAGGGGGCAGTGAAAAGAGCTTTGTAACTGAAGGGGAGAGACTTGAAGAAGGGTCTAGAGGAGTGTGGGACAGTTTGAGGTTTTGAGACATTGATCTGAATTGTATCTTGTACATGTGCCAAAAACATTGCATCATTTTAAAAAATATAAATAAAACTGTATGTGAAATAAGGTCAGCATATTCACTTGACTGTACAATCTAACTCTTAATTTGTAAAAGAAGGAAGTAATTCCAACTAGGTGCCTACCGCCAATGAAGAAAACCTGTTGACATAGCAAACAAACTACACTTTGAAATGTTGTGAGTATTTGTCTAGCCAGACACTTTCCTTGTACCTTTTTTGCCAACTAATGGATGCCCACCAGTTTTCTGCCAGAGTCAATGCACCTGGCTTCAGTCAGGACTGTCCCTAGGAAAGTGTGGGGACTAGGACAACCCTGGCTTCTTCCCACCCTCCCCTACACTTCTGCCCCTGCTCCACCTCCTGCCCCAAAGCTGTGTGACCTGGGCAATTACCGGGATGCCTGGCACTGGTAGCACAGGCTGGGCCTCCTACACTCACCACGGTGGCAGGAAGTGGAATGACCAGATCCCAGCCCACTCCATTCTCCCAGCCACTTCGGGACCCAGATGGGAGATGACAGAGTGGAGCAGGCTGGGGTTGGGTTTTTCCACTTCCTGTAACTCCCATCACCGCTGATTAGTGCTGGGATGGGCTCGACCCAGGCTGCCTAGTAATCTATTAGGCTGCCCTGGGCCTTGTGGGTCCCCCTTTCCCCCAGAGTGTGGGACCCAGGGAAGCTGCCCAAACCATCCTATGAATGGGACAGTTCTGGCTTCAGTATCTGTGCCTTCTGTAAATCCATGCTTTTCCACATATTAATCTAAAGCTGGGTGACATAAGAAACATTGATTTGGAAAAGGAAAGTTAATAAAGGAAGATTATTCTTGATATGATAAACGTGTCCTGAATTGAAAGCACCCCAATTAGTGCAACAGAAATGGAAGAGTTGTAAAGTACCACCCTGCATTCAAGGTGAACCACTCTTTTGTCAAGCTTCATACAATGGGATTATTAATGATGTCACTTCAAAAATAGGGAGTGAGAAGTTGAACTAATTCTGGAAAACAGGCCTAAACCACCACTCCCTTTCCAGTCTACAGGTTGAACCTCTCTAGTCTGGAACTCTCTGGTCCAGCAACATCTGTGATCTGGCATGATTTTAGTTTCCTGGATGTCCACTTATCATGGATAGCCAAGTGTCCCACAGTCCCATTAAGTTTGTTTACAGCCACCAGTCCTGGCTCTGCTGTGATTTAACTCTGATTTACTGCTAAATGTCTTCTAAGAGCCCAGTAAGCAGTGGCAGTGTTGGTGATGCTGCTAGACAATATTGACCTCTTGTGGTTTGGCAAATTCTCTGGTTCAGACCAGTCAGGTACCTAGGGTGCCCAAACTGGGAGGTTCAACCTGTAGTTAAAAGTAAGATCTGCACCGCCTGGCTGTACACAGTGGCTACTTCAAGTCAGGAATAAGAGATCCTCCGGAATAGGGCTTTATTCCGGAGGATCGCGCCAGTCTGGACGCTCTTTTCCGGCTTTTCCCCAAGCCGGAAAAAAAGCGGCGGCCATATTTATTTAAATACCGCGGGGGATATTTAAATCCCCCGCACATTTCCCGATTCCAAAGTTCTAAATTAGCATGCCTATTCCAAAGAAGGGGCCAGTGTAGACACAGCCAGCTTGTATAAACTCTGCAAAGCCAAGCTTCTTTAAAGTTGATCATTTACAAAGTGAATAGGTTATTGCTTTACAATAAAATACAAGTTAGACCTCCTTGGTCAGGCACCCCCAGGACCTGACCAGTCCGGAAGGAGGGATTTTGCCAATCCAGACGATGCTCCCTGATGCCCCTCCTTGCTGAGGATCCCCGGCCCTGCTACGGCTGGTGCAGCCAGGAATCCCCATCCCTGAGGCTCCCATTCCCAGCCACCACTGACCCCAGTAGGCTCCCTCGCCCTGTGGATCACCGGCCCCTCTGCTGCCTGTGCTGCTGGGATCCCTAGACTGGGGCTCCCCAACAGCCTTTGGCCAAGGCTCTTTGGTCCAGCAACAGCTGTGGTCCCAGGCCAGAGTGTCCCAGATTTGAGCAGTTAAACCTGCACTTAGGCTAATATTACGTTGTTTAAAATATTTTACAGGTCATTTTGAACGAAGTAGCAACTTGTTTAATTTTACCATTTGTTTAAAGGATCTACACTTATTTAGACTATGAAATATGAAGACACTAGCTCCTAATGCTAATGTTTAATCACTAGATACTTCAATTGATAGCTGTTGATCTTTCATTTATAATCTGTTATATTACAAAACTAATTAAAATATTCTTTAAATGTTTGCATAGTTGCAGACAGTGTAATCAAATTTATTTCAAGATTAAACTTTTAAAGTAAGAAGTGAGAATTCCTCTAAAAAGGAAGAATTTTTCAAAGTTTGTCTTTCATACCCCAACCCTTCCTTACCTTCATTCCTGTGACCCTCTGATCTTTTGTTTAGGGATATTTATGTAAATATATACACTATTGGTTGCGTCTAGATTGGCATGATTTTCTGGAAATGCTTTTAACGGAAAAGTTTTCCGTTAAAAGCATTTTTGGAGCAGCGTCTAGATTGGCACGGACACTTTTCCACAAAAGCACTTTTTGCGGAAAAGCGTCCATGCCAATCTAGACGCGCTTTTCCGCAAAAAAGCCCCGATCGCCATTTTCGTGATCGGGGCTTTTATGCGGAAAACAAATCTGAGCTGTTTACACTGGCCCTTTTGTGCAAAAGCTTTGCACAAAAGGGACTTTTGCCTGAACGGGAGCAGAATAGTATTTCCACAAGAAGCACTGATTTCTTACAGTAGGAAGTCAGTGCTTTTGCGGAAATTCAAGTGGCCAGTGTAGACAGCTGGCAAGTTTTTCCGGAAAAGCGGCTGATTTTCGGAAAAAACTGGCCAGTCTAGACACAGCCTATGGGGAAAAATGTAAGTGATACATGTTCATGTATTCAGAATGGTCATCACATTTGCAATTTTATCCACTCTTTAGAATTACAATTATTATTATTAAAGGTTGATTATAAACAAAATTTGCATCAGAGGGCACCTTTGAAATGTTTTGGATTGTTGTTTTTTTCAAGTAGGGCAAATTTAAAATTTAGTATCAATGCATTTAGTAGCAATGATTTTTCTCTTTCGTAAAAGGCATGTATTGAATAGGAGTGATTTTTAAAACAGAACAGAATGAGGCCTTGTTAACAGCTATAAACTCAAGTCCTTCTTTCCTACGTTAAATTGTATTTGTTGATACGGTGTTTTTACTTCAGTTTTCACAGAACAGGTTTAAATGCAAATGATACGTCACTTCTGTACCTAATTGCTTTTAATTTCTCTGTTTCCTTTCAATTGTAAGGCTTTAAATTGACCCAACTTCAAAATCCTTCACACATCCCTGGAGTGTGATTTATAAAATTGTATAAATACTGGTTGGAGCAAGTTCTCTCAGTTCAGGGCAAGTACACCTGTATTCCCTTTCTGTGGTCCCTCAGTGATACCTGCTCTAAGCTCC